TAATGCAAACCACAAACACAGTAAATCAAACCACAAAAAAGCAAACCATAAACATCCTAATGCAGACCACAAATATATTAAAACAAACCAGAAACCTCACAATGCAAACCACAAAGTTTTTGAAAACAAACCAGAAACTTCTCAATGCAAATCACAAACACAATAAAACAAACCATAAAAGGCATAAAAAAATATGAGAAACCAAACCATAAATCTCACATGCAGACCATAACATCCGGTGGTCGTTGACCGTTGACCGGTCAACAAAGGCCGTTGACCGGTCAACGAAGACCGTTGACCGAACTCCGGTGACCGTCAGTGAGCAGATTCCGACGCCGATAGGCATATTCCGGCCCCGGTGACTAGATTCCGACGCCGGTAAGCATATTCTGACGCCGGTAAGCATATTCCAACTCCGGTAAGCATATTCCGGCCACAAAATAGCATATTCCGGCGACAAAAAGCATATTCTGGTGACCGTCGACCATTTTCCGGCGACCGGTGGCAGAATTCCGACGACCAAATTTTTGGACATAAAATAAAATAAAAATTTATTTTTTTATTTTTTTTATTTAAATAAATTTTTCATAATGACAATTATACCCCTGCTTTGATTTTACACTAGGTCAACTCATTTAATAAAAAGTCATCACAATCCTAGCTTCCTATTGGTTGGGGACTAGTGTTGTTACAATAACAACACAATGGGTGTTGTTACAATAACTGGTCCCACTCTGGATTTATATTTTGTGTATAATCAAAATTGACTTCTTAATTTTGAATTAGGCTAGATTTTAGGGTCGAGATTAATTTTTGTATTTTTTCAATATTTTATTTACTCATATATTTTTTTGTTTTAACTTGATTTTTTTTTTCATAGATGAAAAGTTAATTGCGATCTACAAAATTATATCCGTTTTTCTATTTCTTCCATAATGATACTTTACAACTCTTATGTAAAATAAATATCAATTACGTAAGGGTTAATACCTTATTTTAGCCCGAACCATACCTAAACTTTCTACTTGGGCCCATGGTTTCCGAAATTGCTCCCCTGGCGCGAACTATCATCATACTGCCTTGCTTGGTTCAACGCGGGTTTTGACCGCAAATTGGACGGTCAACTCCATTGACCGTTAGTCAAATGTCAGGTCACTTGCCACGTCAGCGAACCCGAATTAAAATTTTAGATTTTTAATTTATTTAATTCATTTTGTTTTCTAATAACAATAATAATTAATGAAAAAAATAATTCAAAATTTTGGATAGCGAAAATAATTACAGAAATTCAAAATTCAAAATTTTCTATTTTGGGTTCGCTGATGTGGCAAGTGACATGGCACTTGACTAATAGTCAATGGAGTTGACCGTCCAATTTGATGGTCAAAACCCGCGTCAGGCCAAGTAAGAAAGTATAGTGCATAGTTCGGGCCAAGGGAGCAATTTCAGAAAACACGGGCCAAAGTAGAAAGTTTGGGTATAGTTCGGGCCAAAATAAGGTATTAATCCATTACATAAATGTTACAAAATATCAATTCTCTATTACCCAATAATTAAATTAGAAGCGTTACGTAAGGCTTGCGTAATGACTAAACAATTTACGTAAAAAAAAAAGTATAATATTCATTACATAAATGACTTTCAATTACGTAAGGCTTCCGTAATGACATTTGACAACCATTACGTATAATATACATTTTAACGTAACAAATTAATTATAAGCATTACGTAAGTCTTCTATAATGACCTAGAACTTTACGTAACTCGCAGTTAATGTTCATTACGTAAAATATCCATACATTACTTAAGGCTTTTGTACGTAATGACACTTTACAACTATTACGTAAAATACACGTTAATTACGTAAAGGTTAAGGAACACCAGTTTTCCTATGTAATTGTTAAATCAAAAGTGTTACCTAAGGAAATATTTTTTGCATTTATTTTCTTCAAATAACACGTGAGAATGGGTTGACCCGTCCCGCCCCGCCCCATATCCGCACGGATATTACCTAACATGGCCCGCGTTTGGTGTGGGACGGTGCGGGTATCTACTCATACCCGCCTCCTTCACCCGTTGGTAATCTATAAGCATACAATATCTAACCATTACTTAATGTTTATTGTGTTTTACGTAACGCGACTCGTGAAACTTTATAACATATGAATAATTTCAAGTTATCTTACTTCAAACTATCATAGAAATTCTTAGTGATTTAACATGTCATGTTTCTTTATACTACATAATATTGTTTTAGTCCATACTCCATTAATATGCCATTAATGACACTAATTATGGTAATAAAAAATGACACTAATTATGTAATAGTCCAACCAAAAATACTAATGCATTTTCTCCTTTCAGAACATGGGCCCGGCCCAATTAACATAAATCAGTTTATTTTGAGAGGGAAAAACGAGAAGATGTATAAGAGCATTCACATTGTTATTGCATTCTCAATTGCAAAATGACATGACATAGGTGTTTGCAATTGTAAAATCAATTGCATTGATGTGGCTACAAATTGCATATTTGCAAGCTTGCAACAAATGCAATTTCATATGCAAGTAAAAAAAAACCTTAAAAAATGGGGATTTTTTATTTTTTTTCTCTTTTACTTAATTTTCTATAATTTAAACATAATATTTAATTACATTTGCAATTGCAAGTTAATTGTTAATTGCATTGATGTAGGTGAATGAAATGAATGTGATGTGGATTGAAAAAAATTGAGTTGACAATAAAAAACACAAATGCAATTGCTTTGCAATTGTATTGATAGAGAGATGCTATAATACCTAAATCAGCCTTTCGATAGTTGCACAGGAGCCCAAAAATTTGAAATGGGGCATCTGTTTTCCCTTTGTGCTATTTATAATTAGAGGTACTAATTAACGCCCTAAGTTTTTTAAAATTTGTCGCCCTAACTTGATAATTTGACCTTTTCGCCCTCAAATATTCCCAATCACTAAAAGAATTTCGCCCTAGGATTAACGGGGGAAAGTTAATCTGCTAACTTGAAGATTCGTTAGTAGATACTAATTGATATCCAAAATACATGAACTAGTATTCAAGTACTAAAGTATCTAGAGAGTACAAACTAGTATTCAAAGTTTGCTAACTGATATCTATCATGAATCAACTATTATCCCAAATTCACAAACTAATATCTAGACAACACATAATAGTATCCATATAGAACATAATTAGTATCCAGATAACACATAAGAGTATCCAGATAATAAATAAGAGTATCCATATTGAATACTAGTTGGTTGATTATGGATATTAGTTGGTATCTGCTATCTGGATACTAGTTTGTGATGTTTTGAATATTAGTCTGTGTTATCTAGATACTCAGCAGACTTGGATATTAGTTCATACATTTTGGATATTAGTTAGTATATACTAACGAATTTTCAAGTTAGCAGAATAACTAGGCTGGGATTAACGCTGTCACCGCCTTCAATGAAGTTTTCGCCGTATGGGAGTGCTGCTGGGTAATTGGTCGCCGTCGCTCCAATCCCTAAAATAATTTCGACAGCGGCTGAGGGTCAATGCTTAATCAGAGCTAGCACCTTCACAGTTATTGCCGATCAATTCAGTATTTAAACCCAATGAGACCAAGAGAGATCAACCATATCTTATATTCAGTATGAAGAAAATGGTGAACAAGAAGATTCTGCTTCGTATGGTAGTTGGCCTGCTGATTATGATACTTTTTTTCATGGGTGGAGCTCGATCTACCTTGGCTGGTCGAGCAATTCTCCAACGTGGTTTGCAGTCCCCTGATGAAGAACACCTTGGTGAGTTCCAGGGCGACGAACTTTCAGGGCGAACGGCGGCTTGGCTGCGACGGGGGAGTTGGGCGACGGTCATCCAGGGCGAACGACGGCTTGGCTGCGACGGGAGGGCGTACGGCGGCAACGGTCATCCAGGGCGACTAACGGCGAGATTGATTTGGGGGATTAGGACGTCAATTTTGGGGAAAAGGGTTTGAGGAATTAGGGGCAATTTTGTCTGTTCGGTTAATTTAGGGCGGAAATTTAAAAAACTCAGGGCGTTAAATAGAAATCCAGTTTATAATAGTGTAGATTCTATCATTTCTCCAACTCAAGCTCCCTCTGGAGAGGAGGTTGGTGTAAGGAATGAAATTCCGGCCGGCGGGCCCAGAGAAATTGACGCACCCACGTTGTAGACTTGCCAGTCAGTCTCTCTGCGTAGACGACCATCCCTTAGCCAAGCATAACATGGCGCCCACCAACACCACCATCTCCTTGCTTGCTCCTTCCTTCCCTCCCTCCAGATTAGAATCTCCCCGTCCCCGTTATATAAACACTTCCAAGCCAGATTAAACCCTCGACTGACATAGAGAAAAGAGCAGAAAAAACGCAGAGAGAGAGAGAGAGAGAGAGAGAGAGAGATGAGGACTCCAAGGAACTGGTTCAGCAAAGTTGGAAGGAAACTCCTCAGTCCTTCCCGCAGAAGACGAGACGTTGTTCTCCACTCCAACGCTTCCTCAAGAAGCCATCACGACGATTTAACCACAGCATGCCACAACATAGTCATGGACAATTCGCAGGGCTGCTCACTCCCCTCAAACACGCAGCACGCCGCCGCCCTGAAAATCCAAGCAACTTTCAGGGGTCATCTGGTACACGCTTCCCTTCTCCCACAATTCAAAATGTAAGTGTGTATCAGCGCAGCAGCAAAAAAACTATGATCAGCTGACTTGACTTGGTAAGACATTGCAGGCGAGACGGGCATTTGGGGCGCTGAGGAGCTTGGTGAAGGTGCAGGCAGTGGCTCGTGGGGCCTACGCGAGAAGACAGTCGCAGTTAGCTCTGAACTGCATGCGCGCCCTTGTTCGCTTACAGGTCCGAATTAAAGCCAGACAGCTCCTCGGACCATCCACCACCTGACTACTCAACGCATGAGAGTTGCATTTGTGTGGATTGCATACATCCCCTCCCCACCAATTGTTATTAGCTTAGCAAGTCAATGAGAAAAAAATTTGCAACCCACTCCACTAGTGAATGTTGAACATCAAGAAGCTACCTCAAGGAAAATAAGACGAGACAAAGCCGGAAATGCACCAAACCGAAGCTCTGTACTAGTATGTACAGTTGCACCAAAAAGAAAGAAAAAACACAGATTATTTCTAATCATGTACCGATCTCGCTTTTCCAGTTTCAGTTGTGGCCTCTCGTGAGAGACGAGAAAAAACCACCAGAGGTTCGATCCTTACGGCGACCTTCCTTTCCCTCTCCAACCTGTTTCCAACCGTTAAAGAGGTTGGTTTCTCATTCTTGCAAGTTCAGACCAGAATCAAAAAAAGATCCTAACAACACTATTAACCATTTACCTCTTTGGCGATTTTCTGAAGGATGTCTATGATTTCACAGAAGCTGGGCCTTTGTGTTGGGTCTTGTTTCCAGCATTTCTCAAGAAGTTCCGCCAGTCTTGGTTGAGTCTGTTTTGGAATTGTAGGTCGCAAACACTACAGCAAGCAAGGTTATAATAATCGGCATCATCGTAGACAGGCCTGGAAAGTTCAACGTATCCAACTAGTAGTATGTATGTTTATTTGTTAAAAGTACCTTTTGCACCACGCCCACAGCTGCTTGCAATGGGGTTAGGTATGCGTACGGGAGCTGGAAGTAAGATTAATAGAACCTGGTTCAGCCAGGTTTCCAACAGAAGCAGCAATCATTAAAAAATAATTCTAGTTGCAAGTTTACCTCTCCGGTTAAAAGCTCCCACAACACTATTCCAAAACTGAAAACGTCTGCCTTGTGATCATATGGCTTGTGTTCAATCACCTTCACCCAGTTAAATATATCTGTAAGTAAGAGCATGCTAAACTCAAAACAGCTAACTCTGAACAGAGTAAAATATTTTATTTATCTCCAACAAGTTACATGCCTCAGGAGCCATCCACCGGTACGTCCCAGTTTCAGCAGTCATTACTCCAGATTGAGTCTGTACTCTGGCAACTCCAAAATCAGCAACCTTAACTACCTATATCAAGAACCAATAAAGAAACTGAATGAATAATGAAATCCAAATATGCATTGAAAACTTAGGCCCTTAGGCTGGCTGGTCAAGGAGACAATTTTGCAGATGATATACTGGTGGGTCATGATCTTACCTCGTTCTCGTCCATTAGTAGATTTGCCGTCTTCAAATCCCTGTGAATTATACTATTCTGGTGGAGATAGTTCATTCCCTTCGACACATCTATTGCAACTTTAATTAACGATGGAAGTTTGAAGACGCCATTCTGCTTATGCAGAAAATCATATATACTACCTCTTGCCATGAATTCTGAAAAGCCAAAACACAGAGCAAATATCAGTGAACAGAACATAAAAATTTCAGCCCAAAAAATGAATCCCTGGAATACCAAATGCATTTTTACCAAGATACAATGGCCGACTATATGCAAAGGTAGTGACAGATTCTATATTCACAATGCGCATAGCTCAAAGACACCCATAACTCCTAATTTACAAGTTAAAATGAATAAACGTAGATGTCAACAAGGCCACCTGTCACAATACACAAGTTTGGAGGCTGAGTGCACGCTCCGATGAACTGCACAACGTTCTTATGTCGGACTTTCCTGCAAATTAATTGAGGTAATCAAAATGTTATGTAAAGAGAACAGAGCAGAGACCACCACCACTCAGAAAGAGGAAATACGAGCATTCAGCAAGAGAAGCATTATGCATGATGTAGCATGTTGAGCGAAACAATGCCTGATTAGTTGTATCCAATCTAAAGACCATTTACAGGAACACAAACAGTGATTCCATTTCATTTATCTTCTCCAGATTATTTTATTTCCCTCCATGAATCCAAGCAGAGTATGGAAATTAACGATAATAGATGGTGCAGAACGTTAGCCCCACCACGAACAAAGTCAAACAAACTTAGCCATTCACAGACCTCATTATATAAACTTCTTGAGAAAATTCTCTAAGCATTTCGGCACTGACACGCTCTGGCTTTAGAACTTTGACAGCCACTTCCTGACTGCAATACATGCCTTTGTATCTGAAGAAATTTGAAACCAATTAATTAATAGGAAACATGAAATAACATCTTCGTGTCACTTCACAAAATATAACTTACAGATCGCCATACGCTCCAGATGCCACTTTGTTTTCAACTTTTATCTGACTGGCATCAATTTCCCAGACATCAGTGCCGTCACTGGGTATTTCTATGCAACCAGGAAGTGGTACAATCCTCGTGTTATTAACAATGCTGATAGTGGAAATAGAAGGCTGTTTCGAAACTTGCTGTTCCTGCTGGAAAATTTTTAAAATAAAAATTAAAAATATGCCAGGGATAGCATGAGGTGATGCACCACATGGCAATTGATATCTGCTACTACAATATGGTATTACATCAAAAGTATACATTCTAAGATAAGAACAGTTGAAATTCAAAACTCATATCTGTAACTGGATTAATTGCTCTAGTCAAATAGGATAAGGTAAGTTGTCCTGTTTAAACCTCCACATCACAACAAAGACAATACTTACGGAAGTGGTAGCATAACTAAATTACGCCAGTAATGCGGGTAATGAGTTCCTCTCCATCTGGGTATCCCAGGCAAGAAGCTAAAGGAGAAAAGAGCTGTGACTGCAAAATGTCCATGAGATTGCATGTTCCTCCTTTCCAACTCAAGGTTGAAGAAAGAAAAAAAAAGACTAATAACCCTAGAAAAAGAAAGGTGCAGGTTCTTTGGATAGTGAAGAGACTGGTGTCCCTAAGAAGAAACTCTGCGGATATCTGAATTCTGCTATTCCAAAGTTTTGAAGGCTATGAAGCATATTGAGGACCATCTTGTGAATCAGTAATATAATCATGAAGAAGCATACGAAGCAGTAAGCACATCAAGGATTGAATAAGCTGTGACCTCTACCACCCCATAACAAGACTGTAAAAACTAGATTTATCTCATAGTTCTCCTTGTACTTGTGATTAGCTCTCCCTCCTTTTGAAAAGATTTTTACATCTGTCAAAAGTTCACATCCTTGCCAGTTCCCACAATCACTGGCAAAGAAAGAAGCACCAAGAAAGAATTACATAGATGCATATAAAAGGAATCAATACAGGATATGTTAAACTTCAAAGAATCTTTCGAACAATGCATGAGGAAGTTGCATTAAGTAACTGTTCCACAAACAGCAGAAAACCCAGTAATACACTACTGTACCAGGGTGAGATACGCATGTAGAAAAGGAATGGCCATCTGCCTGTATTTAATTTTTAGGTTATTAGTGAAAAAGAATAGCTCTTTGCCACCAGTTGGTGCTTCAAAAGTCATGATGAGCTGAAAAAAGCATATGCATCCTCCTTCTCCAAAATCAAACTAGCTATAGATATTGAAAGTGTCCATCAGAACGTAACAAAATATATGAGTTATCTACCTTAGACTTCAGAATTTCCTTCTCCAAAGAATTTCTAAGCTCCTCAGTCTCCTGGTGTTAATTAGAAAAAGAAAAGGATCGTAACTTTGCTACATGTGAAGGTATTTCTCAGACAAAACTGGCAGCAACTAGCAAGCAAATGATTGTACCTCATGAGGCCAACCATCCACAACGAAGACGTCCAGGGAAAACCCATCAACGGTAGAAAATGCATGGGCCTCTTGGATATTCAAACCAACTTCAGCAAGCAGGGAAGTCAACTGGAACATTATATATCAGTATAAACTACTAGCCCCAACACGACGAAAAAGTGGGAGTGAGAGAGACTAAGAAGAATAAAGGAGAAGGCAAACCTGACTAAGGAGTTTAGGCCTGTCTACTGTCGAAAAGGTGATCTCATGCATGGGCCTGTAGGATTGCGATGAGTTGTGCGATGGTATAGTGAAACTCAAAAAGAAACTAACAGATATTGGCAAGACTAAGATGAATGAAAGAAACAATATAGGGCACGGGTCTTCTAGCCGGTTCATTATATCATCACCATGAACATACAACATTCTTACAATTAAAGTCGATGAAGTTTAACTTGGTGACAACAATCAATGAAGGCAAGAGCCTAAATTCTTGAAAGTCCATACCTGGCCTGGTTTGATGTTGAGTTTACAGCGCTATCACCATCTTCAACATGATATCTATGTGTGAGAGCTTCAAGATTAGATGATGAACCAAATGTTGGAGGAGCGTGGGTACTGCCAAGAGGAAAAAAGAAAGCACATAAATCAGAAAAGGGCACAAGTTGAGAGTTGTACTACTAGCAGGGATAAAAAAAAGTGGTACAACAAAAGTATACTAGCAGCAAAAAGGAGTGAACATACGCTTGTCTGCTTGATAAATAAGAACTTTGAGCATCTTCTATCAGTGAAGAATCTAAATGAATGGAGTCAAGAGCTTTTCCATTTGAGACAGGAAACACCTGTAGAAGCAAGAAGAAACAAGGTATATCTATCAAGAAGCAATGGCGCAAGTTAGGCGAAACCCGCGAGCCTGAGCATTTCCAAGGACTAAATCCTAGAGGACATCTGTTATACTAGCCCAATGAAATGAAAAGAAAAGAAAAGAAAAGAAAACATGGATTGGAAGGTCCCTTGGGGGAAATCCGACAGAATTGAAATATGGACTGGAAGTGCTCACCTGCACCAAACGAACTTCAAATGCAGGTCGATTAGCAGGATCTTCTGCCAATTGGAGCAGTCTCTTGTGAGTAAGCACGTCTTCCGCCCTCTCAACATTAACGTCTAGAGCGTAGCTGCCGTAACATATAAACAAAAGAAGGAAGAAAGGAAGAAAAAAAAGCATTCAACCGGATCAAATATGGATTTTAAGCTGAATTAGCCATGGATTTCGAATCTTCAAAGAATGAATACACAATGGCAAGGCAGTAAAATACGAATTGCTGAACTGAAATTCGAGACCCGCTATTATCTGACAGCATAGTCTGATCATCGATCCCTAGGTTCACATGATGCAGAAGTATTCGAATAGATGAAGAAAAGCAGACGAGACCAGTGTGAAGCCAACATGCAAGAGAAATGGAGATAGGGGGAGGGGGAGGGGGGGGAAATCGGAAAGAGGGAGGCGCGAGGGTACCGTGCAGGTAAGCGATTGAAATGAAGCCAGAGCTGATCGTCGAAGCCAGGGAGATTGGCGTCTTCGTGAGCGGAATCCTGAATTCTGCGGAGAACCTCGTTGTAGACCTCCAGCTTCTGCCTGTGATGGCGAGGGTTGATGTGCGAGAAAGAGTCGGCCGCTCGGCTGCCGCAGCTCTCCACGTCCTCCTCAATGGCCATATTGTTGTTGCTGTTAGAAAATTATTATAATAACACTAGGGCACCGCCGGCGCCGCCGCTTATCTCCGACGAGGAGCCAAGGGGGAAAGAGAAAAAAGAGATTCAATTCAAGGGGGAACACTGGGCGAGTACAAAAACAAGAGCAGGGATTGAATCAGACTGCAAATTCAATTCAGGATTGAAAGTGCGAACAGGGAAAAGGAGGGACAAAAGCTCCAATTAGCCGAGAGCTAAAAAAGCCATCGCGCGCGCGAGAGAGAGAGAGAGAGCAGAGAATCATCCATCGTGGTGATGCTTTTGCAGTGTTTGTTGTACTTTGGAGTATTTGCGTTGCTCGCTTTTTTTTTTTGTTTTAATTATTTTTTTCGGGTTGTTGTAACGGAGAAGACGGGAAGTGGCGCTCGCCCTCTGAAGAAGAGCAGCAGCGGCAGCCAAAAAGCAAACAGATTATTGTTTGTTGTTTGCGTCGGGGTTTGGATGGCAATCCCACGTCATCAGGTGGGGTCCATGAGAAGGCAGGCTACTAGCTCCCTGGCGGCTTGAACTGTCTGTCTCTCCGCCCATTTTAACTGCCCTTTCATTGGATAAGCGATTGAGCCTAGAAGACTAGATGGGGCAGCATAGTCAGCGCCATGTAGACTTTTATTTTTTAAATTCTTATTACGATTATTCTTTTTATTTTTTCGTTTAAGAACCAAGTTCGTAGTCATTCAGCTTGCCTGGTGGATGGAGGCGGGTTTTGTCAGGTAATATTTTACTAAATAAATATCACCTTTCCAAACCATTTGCACATATTTTATCACAACTTCACTAGTGATCGACAAGAAATGTATTATATTAATCACGAGTGGAATTTGGAGCATTTCAACAACTAGGAGATCCAATAAAAAAATCACAAGTAGTTTGGCACACATAAAATTGTTACTAATTAAAATAATCAAATAGTTCACGGTGGCATCGGTTTATTCCCTCTATTATTGTGAATTAACAAATGTGTCATGTGCCAGCAACACCATGGAGAATTGGAGATGATTTGACGGCGGCAACAACAACAATCTCAACACGATTATGAAGGTAGATTACTCTCCCTACGACATCGATCTCCCATCCGACGTCACAACGGGAAGCAATTGGCAGGCAGTACCGGCCTTTACAACGTCGCCAAAAGGCCAAAGGTCAAACAATTGAAAGGTTTATTGCGTATTCTTTTTATAATTTCTGGAATCGCTTTGCTTGTTAAATTCCGCTCTGTCTGCTCTTTCCGATTCTGGGGGACGCCGGTGGTGTAGGCGAAGAAATAGAAATAGCGCGTGACGATGAAGAATGCGTCGAGAGTGGTGGCGACGCAGAGATGCCTTAGCCCCTCACAACACTTTTTTTTTTCATTTAGTCATAGCAACTAGCCCTGTTATTTGTTAATTCTTCTGGATTCAACGCTTGTCGTTGCTTTGAGCCTCTCCTAGAGCCTCTGTATTTCAAATTAAATTGGCTTTGGTTCCCAGTTTCCGATCATCGGTGCTCTACTCTCCAACACCGACAAGGTCCCGATTGTTACGTCTCTCCGACCGACATTTATGATGGGCTCTACGATTACTGTTGGTGCCAAGTTCCACGTGTCCCACCCCTTTCGATCTCGACCCTTGCGTACTCACCAGGGGCGCCCGGATCCTGCAAGGACAAGCGCCTAAAGGGCTAGGAAATGCCCGTTAGCACTCTGACGCCCAAGTCAGAACCAAGTCTTGAGAGTGAAGTATAAAGCCCAGTTTTAGTGTGATCAGCCAACCTGCATAAATGCTATCGACTGCCCCTATTTATACTCACCGAGCCCGAGGTTGATCTCCGCCACGTCACCATTCTCATTTAATGCTCTGCGCCACCAGACAGCTAACCGCCCTGTCAGACTCCTGACACCCGACTGGCATCCCTCAGCTCTGCCAGGCTCCTGACACACGACAGACGCCCGCAGGCCGTGGTCCACCAGCCAGTTGGCCGCCACCTGGCTTTTGGTGCTCTGTGAGACAGCTAACCGCCCTGTCAGACTCCTGACACCTGACACACGACAGGCGCCCGCAGGCCGTGGTCCACCAGCCGGTTGGCCGCCACCTGGCTTTTGGTGCTTTACTCTTGAGGTCCCTTCTCTTTGTTTGGGCCCAAGGGCCACTAGTGGATATTGATTCTTACCTTTTGGGCTTTGCCCCCCAACTCCTTCTTTGGGAGCCCAATCTCCTAGCTTGCTGAGTAATACCCCCAACAATTGCCCCCCCCAGTTAGGTGCTCGTGGCTTCGCCTTCGAGCGCCTGACTGACCCTCTAGTTGTAATCCGGCCTTCTCTTAGCCACAGGGCGCTTGTCACTAGGCGCATGCATTGTGTTCTCACTTCTTTCTTGGTCCTACGGGGTGCGTTTGCCTCTCCTCTTCTGCGGGCAGGCGTCCCACCTTTGGTTGTGCCCCTTGTCGAATGCTCTTCCATGTGCTTCTGTGCCTCTTGCCTGCTGAGACGCCTCTTTCCAAATGGGGCGCCTTTTCTAACTAGCCCTCCCTTTCGGGCGCTTCATGGTGTCGTTCTTGACGTGTGTCCTTATCCCTTATGCCCCCCTCACCCACGCTTTGCTTGTCGGGGAAATTTGGAGAAAAGAAAATTCGAGAATTCGAAATTCAGAAATTTGGGAGTTGAGAAATTTCCCCGAAAAGGAAAGTGTGGGGGAAGCTCAAAGGTCCGCCTGGTGTTTTTGTGGCTCGCAGAAAAGACCAAAAGGTGGGGGAGCGGAAGGGTTCCTTCGGCATGACTGACACGTGTCAGATGGCGGGTGGGTCTTCGTTTTTCTTTAAATACTCCTCCTCCCTTGTGATGCTGTCACTTTCTTCCATTTGACCTCTCTCTAGACTTTTGCTCTGACTTCTCTCTAGCTTCCGCTCTGACCTCTGTCCTCTTTTCTTGTTTGTTCTTCGCTTCCAACACATCACTTTCGTCCAAGATGTCTTCTCCACAACAAGACAAGACCTCCTGCCCCCGGCGCCTCGGGCGCGGGCGCCTCTGGCGATGGTGGTGAGACAAGGCGCCCAGTTCAACGTGGTAAGTTGTCCTTTTCCCTTCGTCGATTTCGTTGAGTTTATTCTAGTCACCTAGGGTAGGGGCGTCACTTACCCCTTGTCCGCGTTGCGTCTGGGTCGTTTGTTGGTTTAGAGCGGGCGTCTGCTTCCTCATCAGCTGGGCCGTCAAGTTCTTCGGCGCCTGGCTTCTTGCCCGCCGATGGGTCCTACAAGATCACATCGTGGGAGAAGTGTTTCCCACCCGATCACCTGCCCACCGAGACGTCTCACTTATCGTTCGCGGTGGCTGGGCCAAAGCGCACGTCAACAGTCACCTTGGACCGGGTTCATGAATTGGTGACCAGTCTCCAGCTTCCCAGAGACTGGTGGTATGCGCCTCCATCGCCTCAGTCCCGGGTAGGCGTCTGTGGCCCGAAGTGGATCGGGATTTATCAGGAATACTTTCGCTTCGGACTACAGTTTCCCCTAGACTCGATTATGGAGGGCATCCTGACTACGTGCGCCTGTCCCCTCGGGCGCCTGTCCCCCTCAGTCATCACGGTTGTCATCCTGTTCAAGTTGAGGTGCCGAGAGCACAACGTGGAGCCCACCTTCAACTTGTTCAGATATTTCTTCAAGATGGTGCCTCTCGACAACTGCTTATCCCTCCAGAAACGCAAAAAGAAAAGCTGCCCCTATCACTTTGTGAAGAAATGTCCTAAGTTGAACCGAAGCTGGTTCAACGGGTTTTTCTTCGTGAAGGCCTATCGAGACTCCTTCTTTGCGAGTGGAGGCGCCTTTGTGAGGAAGTGGGAGTTGGGTCAAGTCGATGACTTCAACAAGCCGGTGGTTTTGACGGCGTCCGAGAAGGCTGGCGCCCCTTTGATTTGCGAGGGGGAGCCTGTTGACTTACGCCCCGCAGATAACCGTCCGCCTATTATTGAAGCTTACTATAACGATGGTGTGTAGGCGTCTAGGTGTTCTATTTCTTTGCTCCTTTGTTTGTGTGATGAACTAACTTATTTTCGTCATATGCAGGGGCGGACTACTCAAGCATTGCCAAGCTAATGAAGAGTAGGCTGGCGAGTATGGCGGCGGAGGCGGCCGCGGCGGCGGCTTCGTCGCAAGAGGTGCCTGCTCATCAAGAGGCGCCCACCCGACAAGAGGCGCCTGCCACCCAATCAAAGGCGCCAACGGCTGGCCCCAAGAAAAGGAAGAAGAGAGCAGTGAAGGGTGGCACTGCTCGGGCGCATACAGCGAGCGTGGCGTCGTCCGCGCCGGAGGAAGGCGAGGGGGCGCCTAATTTCGACCCTGCGGAGAAGGAGGTCAACTCCGCCGAAGAGGAGGAAGAAGAGGAGCCTTTGCTCCGCAAGGGGAAGAGGGCGGGTTCCCCCTTAGCCTCGGCCAGCAAGAGGGCCGACAGGGGGAAGAAGAAGGTGGGGGAAGAGGACGCCTTCGATGAGGTGGAAGTGGAGGAGGAGGCGGTGGAGGGCGCCCGTCTTCACCTGGATGAAGAGGGGCGCTATGTTGGCCCCGATGGGCGTCCGCCCATCTTCCGGCCACGACGTGCTGAGGTGGGACGGGTCAACATGAACTGCTCCCCCTTGGTCGCCGTTGACCGAGGGTGCGCCATGGGCTTAGCGATCGCGGCCGCCAAGTCATGGCAGGTGCCGTCTGAGGTGAACGGGGATCACCTCTTTGCTGAGTTGGCCCAAGTGGGCGCCAAGGTATGCATTTTCTTACTTGCGTTCTTTAGAAGTTAGGGGAATGGTTTGGTATTTTGCACAACTTGCTGAACTTTTGCTAATGGTTGCAGATCCTTCTTTTTGCTGAAAAGGGCGCCCGACGCCTCAACGAGACTAAGCGTGAGGCGAAGGCTTCTTCTTCAGCTGCACAGCTGAAGTTGGACTTGGATAACGCAACTGCGCGCCGTGAGCAGTTTGCGAAGGAGTTGGAGGACGCCCAGATGA